GGAAAAAAAACAAAAACAAAAAAATCTGAAATTATATAATTTTTGGGGGAAACAGAAAAACAGGAATTTATACCTGAGCCACGGAATGCCGTAATGGAAATAGCGAGATTGTAGCCGTCGACGAGGCTGACGTCATAGAAATCCTGCTCGTTCCCGTTCCCGAGTGTTATCTCGGCCAGCGTGGCGGGAGGGGTCCCGCCGACGCCGTTGCAGGAGAGGGCCCCGCCGCAGTCACCGGTGGCGCAGCGGCCGCGTCCGGCGGCGTCGAAGGCGCAGCCGTGGCGTCCCCACACACGGCCCGACCACCCAGCGGGCAAACGGAGCTCATACGCCTTTCCCGGCGGCAGCCTGAAGCCGCCCCGGGCAAGGACCGGCTTGCCGGCGCTGGGCTGAATGCCAGGCCACACCGAGTGGCTGCACTTATTATACAGCTTCATTGTTGTACCTGAGACCTCTACTGGAAAGGAAAAGAAAAATTGCACAATTATTTAACGAGATATTGGGTTCGATTACATTAGATAAAAATGTGTTGCACAAGCTATAAGTTTATTATTTACTTTACGGCATATGAGAAAAAAAAGGAAAATGTTAACTTCTTTTTTGCTTGAAAATGTACCTGAAATTCGGAGGATTGAGAAAAAGAGTAGGGAGAGAAGAGATCTGAGAATAGTATCCATGGCGGAAGGAAGAATAAAGATGCTGGAGAGGTTGAGAGCAGTGGCAGTATTTGTGTGAACCTAAACGCAGTCAGTGGCTTTTACCTATATTGACTGCTCTTGGCTGGGTGGGGCTTTACAGGATTTATTTATATATATTTGAAAATAGGAAAATTACAATGCAATCGCTCTAGTTTTGTTTATACTAGTTTTAACCCGTGCATTTGCACGGAGAGCTATATGATAAAGGAAAAAAAATAATATAAAATAAAAACGACAGTAAAAATCATAACATAATCATTGAAAAAAAACATTTTAATATTCAAATAGAAGTTAAATAAGTGTATTATGTTTTAATATTAAAAATTATAACATCATCATTGAAAAAACTAAATATTATTAAACACTTCTTTATATACAACGTTCGTGGTTTTTTTATCATCAGCATCTCCATCAGCACAAATCAGAATCTTTAAACCACTCCGACCCGTTACTCTAGAAAGCGCCACGTATAATTGGCCATGACTAAATACAGGGCTCTTCAATAATAGGCCGACGTGCGACAGTGATTGCCCTTGACTCTTATTGATTGTCATAGCATAGGAAACCATGAGAGGGAACTGTCTGCGCTGAAACTTGAACGGTACCCTCAAATCGAATGGTATGATTGTGAGCCTAGGAATAAGAACTTTATCACCAGCTCTGGCACCGGTTAAAATTCTGCATTCTAGGACATGCTGCTGAGCTTAGTAATAACCAATCGAGTACCTGTCGAACTCAAAATTTGGACAACAAAAAACATATCACTCGAATTTTTGTAGAAATCAAATAAAATACAGACAATATATCGAATTTTATAGGTAACAGTACCGTTGCACAAACCCATGGAGTGATCAATGTTTCTGAGCAGCATCACTGGAGTGCCAACCTTCAAGTGCAATTTATGATTGGGAAGTCCCGAGCACTTAATCCCATTGAGAAATTCAGGAGTATGAAGATCGTGAAGATAGTCATATCCAGCATCTGACTTGCAAGCGGTGTCCGAACTTAAATAAGTTCTTCCCTCGGAGGAGTTCAATGAGCTCATGTATTCATTGACAGACTCAACAACATCAACGGTGGGAGCGAGTATGGCTCTGTCCTTCAGATAGCTAAGATCATCGCCCGAACTCCTAAACATTGGGTACGTACTCTCAACAATAGAAGCGATAGGATCCCCTTCCGATTTCAGAAGAATATCGTCGGGAATGTTAATTTCAGCACATCCATCGTTCGATCCACCGGCAGTACCGTCGCCAATGCTTGCAAGCCAATCCGAGAAAAGCCTCAACTCATTGTACTCAACACCCTCACCAAGGCTTCGAAGCCTCATGTTCTGAGTAAGTCTCAGAATGGTACAGTGCCGCCATAAGTTGGATGAATTGATGGTCGCATTCACTATGTCACTCCGAGTGCCTTTAGGCACAACAGGGAGTATCTGTCTGAAATCGCCACCAAATACAACAGACTTGCCGCCAAAAGGGAGATTTTTCCTCGATGGATCAACTACTTGCATTAAGGCTCGTAAGGTGTTGTCAACAGCCTGGAAGCAATACTTATTCATCATCGGGGCTTCGTCCCAAATGATGAGTCGACATCGTATAATCAGTTCGGCCAGTGGACTCTGCTGGCTAATGTCACATGTTGACTCTTCGGTTGGGTTTAACGGGATTCTGAATCGTGAATGCGCAGTCCGGCCACCGGGAAGCAAAAGAGATGCGATACCGCTCGATGCAACGTTCAACACAATTTCGCCCTTTGACCTCAAACCAGAAGACAACGCCCTCCAGATATAAGTTTTACCGGTTCCGCCGTAACCATAAACAAAAAAAATGCGGCCGTGGGTACAGTAGACTGAGTCCATAATCGAGTCATAAACATTGCGCTGCTCAGCAGTCATGTTGGCAACCAATTCCTCATTCTCAATCGATAGTGCACGACGATCGTAATTCAACTCGTCCATCACAAGTCTGTTCGTTGACGCCTCATTACGATCGAGAACAGGAAACGGCATTGTACCATAGTCGCGTAAACTCATCCCACGGCGTCGCAAAATCTTTTCGACCTCTGCCAAAGCGAGATTCTTAATTTCCTCATCGGACAAGACCAATTCTGAAACAATTATATTAAAAAAAATAATAAGAAGAAAGATAAAACATAAAAAAATTAATAAAATAAATAAAAAAAAATTGAATTTGTTACCTGGGTGGTGTAGAAGCCTCCGACGATTATATAATATGTCATCCGATAGGTAATGCCAACAGGCGTCCCACACAAACTCCGGTCTACCGAGAGTATCGGATGAAAGAAGAGTCGCAAAAAGGCTCCTCAATGAACTTGCGCTCGCCCATTGGCTTGCCTCAATAATGCCTTCTATATACTCCTTGTCGTCCTCCACCAAACCAAGAGCAAAACACGCGTCGCGATACGAATCGTGTTGGATGCCATTCAACTTCATATAGTCACGATGGCATGTTGCTCCTCGAACAACATTGAGAAGGCACCTCAAGTAAAATATATCTCCAGCTCCGGGGGGGACGAAGTACAAACGCGCAATCCGATTGCTTCCTTTCCTAGGCTCCCAACTATTCGTTTCTGAATGCCACGTAAATTTAGTGGGAGCCTCAACATAAGTCAGTTCTCTGGCAGCGGGATACTTCTTGTTGGCCTCCATCCAAGCCAAGAATTTGGTAACGGGCTTTTTATTTTTTTGAACCACTTGATCGATCGGAACTTCATCATCGTAGTAGCAAGGATGTTCGTTTTCGAGGTGAAAATTCAAGCGTTCCACTGATGGCCTCTTGTACTGAATCTCAAACTCCAACAAACGCCACGCGGCCTCACAAGATGAAACATACCGGCAATCGTAGTACATCTTCACCTCGTCAACCGGCCTGCTGAAAGACTCAGATCCATTGGACTCATAAAAGGTGGCGGTAACGCGATCATTCCCCTTGTTCACGTACTTGAACAAATATTTGATGGACCTCGACTGGTTGCACCATTCCATATTTATGTGGGCGCCATACTTTAGGAGCAATTTTCTATTATGAGGCACAACGTATCTGTTATCTAGGGGAATGCCGTTCTTTTCTATGGTCCTGCCATTATCACGACGTCTGTATCGTGGATAGCCTTCCTGATCCAGGGTGGTAGTTTCAGAGAACTTCTTTGGAAAATGCTTCGTGCAACAACCATTGACCATACACGGAGATTGTGGGCGTACACTTCCGCAAGGGCCATGCATCATATGATCTCTAACGGCAGCATAGTAAAATGGATCGGTGGCCTCATCTGGTATTTCGGCAGATATTATTTTATCTATGCCATCAGTGGTCTGAATCTTATCTTCTTTAGCCAGGAATAGCAAGATATGGGCATGTGGAAGGCCACGTTTCTGGAATTCAATCGTGTATATAGCTGCAAACAATAATTAAATTGGTAAAAAACAATACAATGAACACAAAAGATTTTAAATTTAAATAAAATGAATTAAAAAAATATTAATATTAATAATATTAAGTACCTGCATTCACTTCACCAAACATCTTGTTATGTCGAACATCCCTCATCAAAGCGTCCAACTTAGCCTTAAATACCCGGCAAATTATATCAGGACGATCCTCTTGTTTGAGATTCTTGTTAGCGAGAAAACGACTGATTTCTGGCCACTTAGGGTTGCAAGTGAAGGTTATGAATATATCAGGATAACCGGTCCACCGGCATATGGCCATCGCGTCCTGATAGTTCTCAATCATATATCTCGCGCCACCCGTAAAGGATGAAGGCAATATAATCCGCTTGCCTTGAGAAGCAGGATCTGTGTCTCCTCGCAAAACAGCATCCGAAAGACGACTGTATAATTCGGTTCTAAGTTTTGTTTGGTTAAAACGGATATATCTGAGTCGAGCTCCTTCGACCATTGTATACGCGTCCACAACGAACTGCTGATACAACCTTCGGGCTGAGAGGATAGAAGACAATTCGCAGTCACGATCGTGCATTCGATATTTGAAGAACTCCAACGGACTGATAAATTTCCTCGACTTCTCCGTGATCGGTTTTAGGAGAGAAAATGGGATGTCCTCCCTGTAACCATCCTCGCCATATGGAAAAAGAATAGGATAATGGAGAGCCAAGTAGGAAGCGTTCAACTCGTTGATACGCTGTAAACGGCCGCTCCGATGTTCTACTATAATATCCCGGCTGCCCATAGCATCATCGAAATCACCAACAACTAATGCAGCAACTTCAGAAGTGGACGGTAAATTATAACGCCGACCATCCTTATTCCTTCTTCCAATAAGTCGCATCTTAACTTCGCAATGCTCGGGTTGGTTCAACTTCTCCCTCGCCATTCTAAACGACTTAACCAGCACATTGTATAGATCAAGCATCTCTTTTAAACCAAGCACTATTTCCCCATCAAGATTATTTCTTTCACCACCACTCCTGAACAAAAAGAACATAGCAAATTGAATTAGTAAATAAAATGTAAAAAACGAAGCTTAACATGTAAGTAAGAAATGTTAATGATAAAATATAATATATACCTCACAGAAGATAGCCTGTTCGATATTTCATTCTCTGTGTCATAGATGTACAATTGAGCAAATTTGGGAGGAGCACCATGGTCGGGTAGCAAACTACCCATTAAATGGTAGTTTTGACCGTGCAAACGGAAGACGGGCGGACCGCTGCCGTTGTTGATGCCGGTATCAATCTTCCCTCCCATGGATGTAAAACAAAACATGTTGTTGTAGGATCGAATGTTTTCTTGAAAGTGCTTACTCCGGGGGCTTGTGCCGAAAATCAGTTCACGCAGGAATGGGGGAGGAGTGTAAACAGGTGGAAGTTCAATGAATCCGTGGTTGCAACAACCAGAATACTTTGGAACCTTAGGTTTAGATGGCTTTCCCAGTCGCTCGGCATACCAAAATTTGGCACCACAGTGAATGCAACAGTACGATGCGTCACCAATATCCCAGTATTCTGCAAAATCATATTAACTAAATTAAATATTTAACAATTTCTTTAAAAAAATATTAATGTATATATCCTATCAATTATTGGTGAT